TTCTTATATTTACGTGAACACTACACATTGAACAATACTAATTTTATGAATTTTATCGCGTTTAATTGTTCTTATTTTCATTCTCGACGTTATAGGTACTTTCCAGCACCAATGACCCAGTACCCCATACAGTCCCCCGTGACCATGGGTGATGTTGTGTTGAAGTGGAAGAGATTTTTCCTTTGTTTATTAAAACACATTAATCTCTGGAATTACCAGTCCGATAGATTTTATTTTTATTTTGTTCACTAAAAATATATTATAAAAAAAATACTTATTTGCGAAGAATGTAGGTAGATATTACAAAATCATTATTAAAACATAAAAGTTCCGTTACCTTCTGCCTTATCATCATTCATCATCATCATTACAGTCCTTCACAAGTCCACTGCTAAACATGGGGCTCCCCCAAGGAATGCCACAAATCACGGTCCCGAGCCACCTGCATCCATCGACTTCCTGCATATCTTACCAGGTCGTCACTCCATCTAGTGGGGGGACGCCCAACACTTCGCCTGCCACTCGAGAACCTTTCTTCCCCATCGGTTGTCGGATCTTCGAGCTATATGGCCGGCCCACTGCCACTTCAGCTTACTAATCCGTTGGGCTATGTCGATCACTCTGGTTCTACTGCGGATATCCTCATTTCTGAGTTTATCACGCAGAGAAACTCCGAGCATAGCCCTCTCCATAGCTCGCTGAGCGACCTTGAGCTTCCTCATCCGGCCAGCAGTGAAGGACCACGTCTCAGTTCCGTATGTCATCACTGGCAACATTCACTGGTAGTACAGTCTCGTTTTCAAGTTTTCAGGTATACCTGACGAGAAGATGTGCCGTAATTCCCCGAACGCTGCCCAACCGAGTTGAATCCGTCGATTGACCTCTCGGTCAAAGTTGGACTTACCTAGTCGGACTATTTGTCCCAGGTAAACATACTCGTCAACAACTTCGAGCTTAGTGCTCCCAACAACTACCGGCATAGGTGTGACATGGACATTAAACATAATCTTTGTTTTGTCCATGTTCATCTTAAGATCTATCCGTTGGGAAGCGCTATTGAGGTCATTGAGCATAGTGCTTAGGTCCTCCAGCGATTCTGCCATAAGGACTATATCGTCGGCAAATTGAAGGTGAGTGATGTACCCGCCATTGATGTTGATACCGTATCCTTTCCAGTCCAGAAGCTTGAAAACGTCTTCAAATGCAGCGGTGAAGAGTTTCGGGGATATGACGTCACCCTGTCTTACACCTCTCTGCAATTGGATAAGTTTCGTACTCTGGTTCTGTACTCGGATAGTATGTTATAATAGTAAAAATTAACAAGTAAGAATTATTATATAGATATATTATATTATATAATATTTTATATATATATATATATATATATATATACATATATATATATATATATATATATATATATATATATATATATAATAATTATTACTTTTTAATTTTTACTGTTATAACATATGAATTTTATTTTATGATAATTTGTATTGTGAGACATTGTTTTTCGTAATTAATATTTTGAAATTTTTATCGTTATGATTTGGACATTTTTATATGTTATTAATAAATTAAAATTCATATATATATATATATATATATATATATATAGTTACTATACGGTTTGCATATTAACTCAACAATATAACAACGTAAAAATTTCAAAAGATTAATTACTCCAATAAAAAAATCTTTAAATTCCCAATAAAAAATGTTAAAGGTCACTTATCGGGATAAAAACTATCCTATCTCTCAAGTTGGAGGCAACTGCACACAGTGTGCAAAATTTCATTGAAATCAATTCAGTAGTTTAAAGAGTTCATCGCGAACAAACAATGTGGCCCGTATTTTTTAAATATAAAGGTTTTTTTTATAGGATCGGGTGACGAACGAGCACACAGTCCACCTGATGGTAAGTGGTTACTGTAACCCATAGACATCTACATCTATCCTCAATAAAGCCTCAAGATGCAGATGCGTTGTCACCCGTGAGGACTAAGATGAAATGCCTCTTTGCCAGTAAAAAGGGTCTCCGGTTCTCTACACTCACCATACGAAACACAGCAGTGTTAAGCTGCTATTTTACGCTGGTTTTCTGTGAGAGCGTGGTCCTTCCCCGGTCGAGCCGACCCATTCGTGCTACAACCATAATATAGCTGCAACATGGCTCTACCACGTAGAGACGTAGATGAAATGATGAGAAAATGGTGAAGTGAAGGAGGTCCTTGATGAAGACCAAAAGCCCCACATGGTCGTCGTTGTCCGCGGTTCCTACTCTTACACTCATGACGACGGCAAAGTTGAGACCATCAACTACAGCGCTGATGAGAAAGGCTACCATGCTGATGGCGACTCAGTACCCACGAACGCCCCGTCCAGGAGATAAGCTTGCAATGACTTCATTACAATGAGTAATCAATTATGCAACAACATCTAATAAACGATTATTCATGAAACTCGGTTAGGGACGATTATGTTTCCCATAAAGTTAGATGTAGGGAGAAACATCTGTCTCATATCTTTCTTGTTATTTGTTTTAACTGATGCACACTGCCATATTTTTACGTTGTTATATTTTTGAGTTAATATGCAAACCGTATGGTAAATAAACTAATTTAATGCAATTTTTTTGGTTTTTTTTTAAGATTTATTAAATCTTCAACTAAATAAATACGTATAACATAACATAGATATATTTATGTTACATTTTTTCCGACTTGGTAAAAAAAATAAAAATTTAAATCGGACTGGTAATTCCAAACATTCGCGTGTTTAAATAAACAAAAAAAAACAAAGAGAAAGCTATTCCGCTTTATTATTATAGTACAGATTAATTCCCGATATTTCGGTAGCTTTCCAGCACCCAAGGTCAAGCGTGATTTAGAATTAAATATATGAACAATTAAACGCGATAAAATCCATAAAAGTAGATTTGTTCAATGTGTAGTGTTTGCGTCAATATAAAAAATCATTATAGTATAGATTAATTAAAATAAAATGATGTATTTTTTCTTTAAATTGTTATCGGCTTAACCGTTTTGGTGTGCTGTTTGTTTTATTTTATGAAATAGAAGAAGGGGTCAACCGGCAGTTTAAGAGTAAAATCGCCTCAATCATTAGTATGCAGCACTGGAAATCGTGAGTAAGCATCACACGAAGCCATTTACGCGAAGCCTACTCTGAGTTCGGAAGACGACTACTACGCACCCGCCGCGCCGGCGCGGCGTCTAAGCCTACGCATCTCACGAAACCGGTCTAGTTTAACGAATATAGATTTCAAGCTTGTCAAGCTCGAACATAATTATATATTTAAAACCTTGTATCTATGTTTAAATGTTCTACCATTTTAATTTATTACTTTTATCTTTTTTTTTGTTTAGTTTCTTTATTGATCTGCAAAAGGTAGGAGTCAATGTGTCAATGCACTCACTTGTACGGCATTTCTTGCTTATGTATTTTTATCATTATATTAATGGACAATTAACAACGAAGAACAGTGATTATAACGGTTGTTTAAATAACCTTCCGATTATCACCTCTATCAGCGTTATAGATCAGGGAAAAACTTTTTTCGTATTTTTATATTTGTACATTATATTCAGAAGTTTTACAACACAAAAGAGATAAATGAGACTCAAGCCGAAAAAAACATTTTAAACATTTATGTTCGGATTAATTCCAGCCGCCAAATTTCACGAACGCACATCGCGGCAGAACTCCCGATACCATCCAAACCATCTGGATGATTGGCGGTCCACCACTGTGCGAATTAGAAGATGTTTTCTTCCTCGCACAACTTCCTTGTGGAATCGATTATCATCAGCGATTTTTCCGGACCGATACGACTTTGGGACTTTTAAGAAAAGAGCCTACTCCTATTTAAAAGGCCGGCAACGCATCTGCAATTCCTCTTGTATTGCGGTTGTTCGTGGGCGGCGGTAGTCACTTAGCATCAGGTGAGCCGCATGCTCGTTTGCCCCCTCTCCTTTAAAAAAAAAGAACCTTATATAGTGTCGGTAAGAGTAGCACAAAGTTGGTTCAAGCGTTTTCAGTTCAGAAATTTTGATATTAAAGATGCAGCTCGCTTTGGTCACACTCATGCGAATAAAGTCGATGCCATTTTTCAAAAATTATAAATATGTAAAGTAAAAAATCAGTATAAATTATACCGCATTGGTCCTTCCTTGGATTGTGAATTGAAATGTTCTCTTTACTAAGTACACTTAGGAAGGCATTTCGTGAAACTGGCTTTTTGTTTTGTTTATTACATCATATTTTATAAACTGTCTGCACATGCAGGCAGTTTATAAATCATGTGTGATCGAATTGTTTTCCTCGTGTAGTTCTTGTGGTGGCCAAGACTCTACGATTACGTCCAATTAAAGTAGGATATTCATTGCCATCTGCAATGACTGTCATTACTGATGTATCTTTAACCCAGCGTAAGAAAGAATCACGTCCGAGATCAAGATCAAACATACTGCACACTTTTATTTTGGCATTTTGGGAATCAAACTTATGTAAAGTCAAATATCAAAGTCAAATATCATTATGATTTGCGTCTATGTAATATTCAACGCCACATAGATGTTGTGCATGAAATATCTTTTTTTCCAACATAATATGTGTTATGGGGTGTGGTAAGTAATGTGGCATCTAATGTAAACTTCATGTGAACTTTTGATGACATATGGAATCAAAAGCCAGTTCCTAATGGCCAAGGTCAACTGTTAAAGATTTAATTAATTTTAAAAAACCAAATCAATTGTATTAAATTAGTTTATTTACTATACGGTTTTCATATTAACTCAACAATATAACAACGTAAAAATATGGCAGTGTGCATCAGTTAAAACGAATAACAAGAAAGATGCTTCTCCCTACATCTAAATTTATGGCAAACATAATCGTCCCTAACCGAGTTCCATGAAAAATCGTTTATTAGATGTTGTTGTATAATTATTTCTCATTGTAATGAAGTCATTGCAAGCTTATCTCCTGGATGGGGCGTTCGTAGGTATTGAGTCGCCATCAGCATGGAAGCCTTTCTCATCAGCGCTGTAGTTGATGGTCTCAACTTTGCCGTCGTCATCAGTGTAAGAGTAGGAACCGCGGACAACGACGACCATGTGGGGCTTTTGGTCTTCATCAAGGACCTCCTTCACTTCACCATTTTCGTTGCGGTTGATGCCTTTCTCGGTCTCGAAGCTAAAGTACATAATTAATACCAAAATTAAGATCAATAAACATCATTTAACTGCAACTATTACCTCAGAAATACTCTAAAATACAAATATTTAAGTATCAGAGTTGAGACTAACGGACACAGAACAGCATCTAAGATGCAATGGATCTATAGTGATATCCTAGTGATCGGTTTATCCTACTTCAGCAATCTCCAAAAACCTCCGCAGGAGTATTACCATTAACCATAAATGTGTAAGCTAGCACAGAGTCTTACATTGTTTTGAATTTATTTTATTGAATAATATTTATTATCGTTATAGATTTATTTCATTAAAAATGAAGGTACTTTAGTAATGATTAAAAATAATATGGACAGGTGATAAAATCATATTTTTGTATAACCGACTTCAATATAAATAAAATGAACACATCATTAATGTTAAAGTTAAAGTTAGAGCCTATTTAAGTCCCACTGCTGGGCACAGGACTCCTCTCATTTATGACAAGGGTTTTAGGGCAAGGAAAAGTCCGCCGCGCTGCCCCAATGCGTAATGACGAAATTCACATGTATTCGAAATATTTTTTTCTTACTTCTCAGACATTCACACAATGTCTTGTGTGTTTTCCACACAATGTCTTTCTTTTCCGCCAAGCACGTGGTAAATGAGCACTTAAAATTGCAATTAATAATTTTTGGCAACTTTAATTTCATTGGTGCCGGCGGAGATCGAACCCGGTTTGCTCGCTTACTGTGAAACTTACAGCGGGCGCTAACCATCACGATCAGTGTGCTACCACGGCTAACTGTAGTAATACGAGTAAGAATGTAGTCGAAGTTAATTAAATACGCATTATTAAGGATAACTCTTTCGAGTTATCATATCATGTCTAGTACAAGCACTTAAGGGGTGATCAGATAATTTACTAAGTTAACCACAACTTCTTTAAGGTGAGTTTACGACTAAACGACGTAAGAGAGTAATGATACTTTGAATAACTATATTAAAAATACTGAAGACTTTAATTGATTTAAAAAGATGGCTATCCATTATACTGAAGTATCTAAAATAAAGTTATTTGATACTTGTAAATTACGTAACAACCGTTTTCAATATTAACTAAATGACTTTTTTCTTAAGCTAAAAGGTCCCAACACAGGGTAACATGAAAGACCATGCACCTACCACATGCCTCCAGCCAGAAGGCGACTAGCAATGAGTTTGGCACGGTGGCGGATATTAAAAAGTGTTTCGCGAAGGTCATGTTGCGGTCTAGGTATTTAGGCGTTGATTGCCAGGAGATCTGGCGGCCGAATAGGATGTTTAGTAGATCACTACTTAAAGATTTTTTGGGATTTAGGTATTGACAATCCAGAGAGAGGTGCCTTTGAAAGTATAAGACTACACTTTTCTCACGATTCACTTCGTTTCTCCATAAGCGGAATCAATCGCCTAAGCGGTTGACGGCTGTTTGGAGTATCTAGGTAAGTATTTTTTTGTTGTGATGGGCGACGAAAAGTGCCGTGTCGTTAGCGAAAACTACTGGGTCCTTCGGGATGTCACTTGTCAAGAGTGTAAAGAGGGGTGGAAAGAGGACTGAACCCTGAAAGACTCCAGCCTTGAGTAGGCGTTTCAAAAACAGAGAGGCCGTATTTCTTGCTCTGATCAGCTGCCAAATGTCTCTTGGAAACTTCGTGTGTTGATTGTTCGACACCCGAACCATACGAGAGCTTTCTTTGACTGCTGAGTTAAGGTGAGCCGATAGGACGCTAATCGCCTCATTGGCTAACTCTGCAGGAGCTGGGTGGTCGGAGACTCCAGTTTGACCTCGAGCTCACGAAAGTCTACGATGGTTATGGTCTGAAGGACTTCACCAGCGAGCTAAATCTGCTGCCACAAGACCGGTTTGTAGTCCGAGTCTAGTTCTAAGATCGCTTCGATTGGTGATATCGACAACGTGACATATCAAGGATGTCCGGTCGTTGTCAGGTAGAAAATGGGTAGCGAGTTGGAGTTTCAGACGCAATAACATCGAAGTTTAGCTCCGTGAGATCGAAGAAAGTTATACCATTCGCGTTATTAGCAAGCGAGTTCCATGAGGAATGTTTGCTGTTTAGGTCTCCAGCTATCACAACACTAGGTTTTAGATTTAGTAAACTCTGAGTCTGACACAACCGTCTCAGGCGTGTCGGATTAGTCAGTAGTGCCGTGGTCAACTAGGCACTTGACGCACCTAGGCCTGGCCTAGACCTTATTTCTTTCATTATAATAACACAATTGTTATTTAAACTTATGTAAATAATTTACTTATTAATAAATTATTTATTAAACTTCACCAGTTAGCTTAATGAATTTCTTTGTGGCAATAATAGTGGTCATCTAAAAATAGTAATTGATAAACATGAAACATAAAACATGTTAAAGTAGAAAAAAATGTTATGTTAACTTACCTGAAGTTGTATCCACCCTCGGAATCATGGTTGAATTCTGAGCGAATAATCTTTTCTGGTTCTTTAACTAATAACACTCTAGCTTCGGGTTCTACTTTGTTAATATCCTCTACTGGAACAGCGCAGGCGACGGCCACAAGGGCGAAGACGACCACAATCATCTGCAGATTAAATTATAGTTATTGACGATAAAACTAATAAAAAATAAAATTGTTTCTTAAAATTAAGAAGGCCCTACAACGTACTGTTTTCATGTTTAATGAGTTGGCTTAGTTTTCTCTATCAGATGAGCGACTGATGCCTTAACACTCGAAACAAATTCTTTTATACATTTTTCCGGCTCCGAATGTAATGTCAAATGGCGACAAACTTACGATGTTGATATTCCGGTTCCCCGGATTCAGTTATCAGTGATCACAAACTTTAACGATTACATGTGTGTGTCCACAAATAGTATTTGACAAATTGATGTGTGTAACATGCGCTAACGTAGGAATTTGAAAGTTTAATTCGCGCATATTTACTTAATAATTTGTCCTTAAATAATTAACGTGTAATGTGAATGATGAAAAATGTTCGCCATAGTTTTCCTGGTACTAAATATTTTTATTTTTCTATAGATAATCTTTAAAACACCGATATATATACATAAATTACGTGTCACATTGTTTGTCATTGTAATTTCGCACACTATGTGCAGTTTGGTCCAACTTGAGAGATAGGATAATTTTTATACCTATAAGTGACCCTCATTATGTTTTATTACGAATTTAAGAATTTTTATAGGACCCAGCGTCGTCGGAGAGGGCAGAAAAACGTCTGTCTGGCCAGCTATATATATATATATATATATATATATATATATATATATATAAGGTTGTGTTTTCTTTGTTTATAGAATGTATTATTTTTATGTTTATTTATTGCGTATTTTGAAATTAGTTTATTAACGTTTTTGAAGCATTAACAAATAATTATACAGACAATTTGAAGATATCATGGTCGGTGCTTATTGAATTTGTTAAACACTCCTCCGTGTTTGTATACTATGTAGTCATAAACTTAGGGATTGATTTACACGAATGTTTTATTTAGCACGGATTTTATTATAAGAAAAATGATAAAACTTTTTGATACACTCATAAACGTTTTGGAAGATTCCAATGTATTTAAAGTTTGCACTTAAATATCTTGTAGGGTAGAGAAATGGAAAATCTATGTAAGTATGAGACACAACGAGTGTCTGTGCATACTTTTTCAATTAACCTAATATTACACGTAGTAGAGCCATGCTGCAGCTATATTAGTAGTATAATTGTAACACGAATGGGTCGGCTCGACCGGGGAAGGCCACGCTCTCACAGAATACCAGAGTAAAATAGCAGCTTAACACTGCTGTGTTTCGTATGATGAGTGTAGAGAACCGGAGACCCTTTTTACTGGAAAAGAGGCATTTCATCTTAGTCCTCACGGTTGACAACGCATCTTCATTTTGATTCGCAAACGAAGATAGATGTAGATGTCTATGGACCACAGCAACCACATACTATCAGGTGGACTGTGTGCTCGTTTGTCACTCTATCGAATATAAAATTGTTTATTGATTTTAAATCGATTTATTTATTATAAATCTCATCCCTTACAGCCACTTATATTATATACAAATAGTATACATATATTTGTTTACGGCGTTGAAAAACCGCAATATGAAATATATGTATGAGACAGAACAAGAGTCTGCACTTTATTTATTGTCCTGCGGGGCCACGAGAGGTACACGAGAGACATGAGGAGATGCATCCTGTGGGACATCATATCAGTGCGGACTTTTCTATTCATAGTGTTCAGTTTCGTCTGAGTACACACTTGTATGCCGAAGGTATACGTGAGGACAGGCATGACTCAACCGTTATATGCGTGTGTTTTATTAATGCACGACAAAATACTATTAAGCACTTTTGTCAAGCGTGCACAAAACTCATCACATCATACATTGCCCGATGAAATCTCTTAAAAAAACATAACATTCAACTTTGTTCAGCTAGAGGAGCTTCTTCAGCCATTTATGAGGCACAGAGTCAAATGCCTTTTTGTAGTCTATCCAGGCGGTGTAGAAGTTTCGACGGTTGCGTTTAACTTTCTTGCCAATTACCGCGTCAATGAAGATTGGTTGCTTGGTTCTACGACCTGATTTGGGTTCAGGTGATTCCCACGCTCAAATGGATGTCAGTGTTTTGTGTATAGTGAGTATACAAATAATGGGGCTGTATTTACTCGCGTTTGTGGTATCTTGGTCCTTAGGAATCTAATTAAAGAGCCCAGTATTGAAGAGACCCGGGAGTGTCTTCTGGTCGAGGGCCTTTTTAAATTTTCGGGCGAGCACAGCGTGACACACTATCAGCCGGTAGTGATGCAGCTCGTCGAGTCTCGTACTTTTCCTGTTCAGTGTCCTACGGACCGTCTCAGCTGCATCATACGGCGTTGTTATATATATTCGTCAGTTATATCTCTTACGATATAACTGACGAGTTGCTTAGCAAACTTGACCGTCTGCTCAATATGCATATGCTAAAGAATACAATAAAATACTTTCTATTGAAAACAGATTATAGAATACTATATTAATTGTATGTCATTTATGCTTTACCCCTTGGAGACCTTTTTTTTACGGGAAACAAGGCATTCCATCTAAGTCCCCAGGAGTGACATCGGACCTGCGTTTTGATTCTTAATCAAGGATAAATCTAAATGCTTAATGGACACAGCATCCACTCAGCATCAGGTGGACTGTGTGCTCATTACATCATTACATGCTTGCTCGTTGTTTGTTTTTATGTCTACATATTTTATTAACTTGACCACCTCGTCATAAGGAATGGTTATGTCGACCAAAAAGATCCTTGACTGTGCCCGGTCCATCAGCACAATATCAGGCTTATTCGCAAGAATAGTCCTGTCTGTGATGACGGCCTGGTCCCAGTAGAGCCTGGCGCGGTCATTTTCGAGCACGGCTTCCGGCAAGTACATACAATATGGCAGTTCCCGATCTACAAGACCGTATTTCAGAGCGAGCTCCTGGTGTAGAATCCTGGCTACTAGGTTGTGTCTGTGCAAATACTCAGAGTTAGAAAGCGCCGAACAACCGGAGATGACATGCCTAAGTGACTCACCGGGATGGCGACAAGCTCGACAGATGTCGACGGCGCCATTCTTTAGGATGTATTTCCGATAATTGTTGGTCTTAATAAACTGATCCCGTATCGCACAGACAAAACCCTCGGTTTTCCCAAAGGGATCACCGAAAAGTAGCCAGTGGAGGATGGCGACTGTGTCTACGAAGGGCTCATGTAGAGCCTTGTAGAACCTCCCGTGGAGCTCCTTCTCCTTACATACGGTCTCCAGGCTGGAAATGCTCTGTACTACCAGGTCTTGCCATTGTTCGATGACTAAGGATAGAGGGGTAAGTCTTTATCACACGAAATAGCGTCCCTATAGATTGGATCATCCGCTCTCATCAGAAAGTAATTACGGAGGCTGCACACTTCGCGATTATGCATGGTGAGCGCGCTTAAAAAACCCGCATCCACCATGCTTCCGCGGCAAGTACAGCCTCATTACCGACGACCTGAGGATGATGCATACTGTGGAACGTCATAATAGTGCGGAATTTTCTAACCAGAGCGTTCAGTTCGGTCTGAGTCCACCTGAGTATGCCAAAGGACAAGAACAGACAAGACCCAACCGTTATATGCATGTGTCTTATTAACGCCCGACAAAATACTGCTAAGCACTTTTGTAAAGCGTGCATAAAACACATCGCAAGCTGACTGGCTGATGTCTGCCTCATCGATACCTATGTTCTGTGACATACACAGGTATTGGTATGTTTTAGCCTCGGATAGGGTCTTTATGTTGATGGGCATAGATAAGTCTATGCCTTCAGAGTTAGCAACCCTACCCCTTTCGACATGGAGGGCCGCATATTATTATTAATATTTACTAATTATTATTATTATTGTGGTATTTTTGGTACTTTCCCTCCTGGTTGGAAAAATACTGAAATACATGTAATGGAACGGTGTTTGCTCGGGTCTGTGGCATTCTGGTCTTTGGGCACCAAATGAAAGAAGTAAAGTATAAGGCATAAGATAGTAAAGAGACTCGGGAGTGACTTCTGGTCGAGAGCCTATTGAAACTGTTGGGCGAGCACAGAGTGACACACCATCAGCTAGTAGTGATGCAACCCGTCGAGTCCCAGACTTTCCCAGTACAGTGCCCTACGGATCGTCTCAGCTACGTCTTACGGCGTTATGATGATTGGGTCCATGGCCGTAACACTCGCACATTGGCTCGCCACAACTTCCGTCCAAGGGCCCTAGCTGTGGTTTATTTTTGATTATGCTTATATTCCTTACCATATAACTGACGAGTTGCTTAGCAAACTCGACCGTCTGCTCAATGTACATACGCTACTATAATATGATTACTATAATATTAATTAAATGTCATTTAAGCTTTACCACTCGAGACCCTTTTTTATTGGAAACAAGGCTTTCCATTTTAGTCCGTAGGGGTGACGACGCATCTGCATTTTGATACTTAATCGAGGATAAATCTAGATACCTAATGGACACAGCATCCACTTACCATCAGCTTGACTGTGAGCAAAAAAAAAAAGTTCATGCGCTACGGATTTTTTCGTACAGCCTTGCGGTATATATTTGAAGAGTCATCGGCGAGCATTGAGTTTTATATTTTTCAATACTTTTGTAGACTACTTTTTTAAATCAAAATTAGTTTTTACTTTCTTTTATCTGAAATTGTGTTTTAATATTTAAAGTTTCTAATTATCATCGGATTTAATTCAATGTAGCGAAAATACATTGGTTGTTAGAAATTTTTGTGTTTTGAATGCTTATTTCAAATAATCTAGTTAGTATTTAATGATTTCGTATATTTACGCGAATACTACACATTTAAATAAAACTAATTTTACGGATTTTATCGCGTATATTAACTTATTTTGTATTCCCGTCGTTTCAGTGTACAGGAAAAATACCCATACCAACCGATATTTAAATGGTAAATCGCACCATCATCCTTCACAGTTAGCTACCGTGGGAAAATCTTTGCTTTAGAGAGCACGAGAGATCTGTGACAG